AGGAAGGCTTATCGCATCCGCAGAGCCCAAGCCGTTTTGGACATCGTGAGCGGAGCTTCCCCAGGTTGGCAGGCCCGGCGGGCACTACACTACGAAGTACTTACTTTTCGCCAAGGGCAGGAAGGGAGTGTGCCGCTTGACCCGATTCGGTGTGAGGGCTGGGGGCTGAGCCGTATTTGTTACCTACCTAGCACGGGACAGAGAAGCTACATCTGCCGGAAGTATCGGTGCATATCCGGGCCCACTGTCGGGTACCTTGCACCAAGTACCGCTCTCTCTCTCCCCCAGACATTCCCGTGTCAGCTCCGCTTGTAGTGGTTATTTGGGCGTTGGTCGTGTGCCTGGCGTTTCCGCCTGTGATGACCGATTCTAGTTGAAAGGGGACCAGGTAGATAAGAATTGCAAGAGGCCAGTTACGGCGGCGACACAGAATGCGTTCATTGAAGTGATTCCTTGCTTCAATTGAGATCAATCGTAAAAGACGTTGTCAATGAAGCAAGTCTGTAGGGTGGGCCGACCGCGATGCGCTGTTTGCCGACGGGTATCGTGCCCACTGGGGGGGCGAAAAGGGGACTGGGACGCTGCTAACCTACTCCGAAGGTGCAACTCGTAAGAAGGAGAGGGGCTTTCTCTGGTGGTCGTATGTTGGAAGGGTTTAGCGCTGTCCTTTCCCCAGAATTACAGCGTCTGGGGAAGTGGGACACTGTGGAGCATCGCTGAGTATGTCTCCACTCGCCCCACAACACGGCTTCCCGTCGCTGCAATTCCCCTTCCCCCCATTCGTCCCCCCCCCCCCCCCCTCTTGCGTTACTCCCTCCAGGCTCTAGGCCCCCTCCCTTCCCGTCTCGCGCTGCTCATCTTTCTACTTTCAGTGGAGTGTTTGCCTGGTACCCCCTGTTCTGTCCCCGCTATCCGTCGGTGTGTAGACAGGTGAGTGAGCAGGGCAACATAGTCCGACACTTTGCTGCTTAGCATGCTGCCTGAGTGCGATGGAAGTTGAGAGAGAGTTCATAGAATGAGGGAATGAAGAAGGAAAGAAACTGGCAATACGAAAGGGACACAGACCTACAAGACAAACATGGCTGGACCTTGATGGTTCGTGTGGGGTGGCCTCATGCCCTCCTCTTCCGTCTTCAGCAGAAGTCTAAGGCTTATGTATGTATGGTGAATGTGTTTGTGCACCGAGAAAGTCTGGGGAAAACGCGGCACGGTCGGTCAGGGTCATCCCGTTCTTCTGTCTCTTCCTGCTTCACTTCTCTTCAGGCTTCATCTCTCCATCGCGCCAGCGTTGCCTTGACTCGTTCTGCTATGGCCAGATTCAACTGCTCGTCAGTTGTTCATGTGGCATGTTGTAGTAAAAGCAACCGCCTCTCTCCTGGGACCTCTCAGCCAGAGAACGGTCTCTGAATTGTCTCTGTTCAATGCGATACCAGCCCATGCTTGCGTCACTCATCTGCCCACCCTCCACGTCGCAGCGTTGCACCAGGCGGCTGGGCCTACCATTCACTTCTCTCTAACCTGTGCTCTCGCCTCTCGCCTCCCGCTTCTGCCTCTGCCTCTGCCTCTGCCTCATGTTACTTGTGTTGCTCTCACTCCTCCTCCTCCTCCTCCTCTTCCCACACACGGGGCACCATCACAATTCGGCGCCAGTGTTTGTGCGCTTCTCTCCCCTTGGTATGGTCTCCCTCGCCTTGATGTACTTGGGTGACCCCCCCTTCCACCAGTCAAACATCCTCATCCGCCCCCAAACACACCCCCTTCCTTTCATCTGGCACCTTGGGCTGTGACGGCGACGTATGGATAGACCAGTCACGCGTGGATGATCTGTCTTACCCCGCACGCTCAGGACGGAACAACAGAACCCTCGAGGCAGTGCCCCTGAAGCCAGAGAGAGATCCTTTAAGAAGAGGACATCTGCCTCCTCTTCCGTGGCTTTTAATCTTGTGTGACTTGCCTTTCTATCTCATCGAATCATCTCATCTCGTTCCATCCAGCCCATCATCAGCTCGGAGGACATACATACATATCACAAGCCAAACTACAACCACAGTGGTGTTCTATACATCACCAACTATCAAGGTCGCTCCACTCCCATCTACACATACACACATACACACATAAAATCACACAAAATGGCCCCCCGTATCCCCGCCGCAAAGTCCACCGAGACCCTCTGCTACGGCGTCGCCACCGTCGGCGCCTTCCTCCCCATCTACCTCATGCTCCCCGGTGCCGAGCAGCGCCTCGCCTCCCAGACGACAAAGTGGGCGCCCCGCTGGGAGCGCAACCTCTCCTACTTCACGCCCGCCGCCGAGAGGGGCATCAAGCGCGTCGAGCCGCCAGTCTCCAACATTGTCCGCCGCATCGACAACAGGCTACCCCTCGAGAAGATGGCAAAGGGCCTCGACAAGAGGATCAAGAACGGTATCGATCGCTTCAACAACACCAAGTAGATGAATGACGTCTCTGGTGTGGAGGGGGAGGTGAGGGGATGACAGTTATGTAACCACCGTGTATACACTTGTGCCAAGCTGGATTAGGCTGAGGAGAAGAGTGGAGGATACAACGGAAAGATGATACCACATCTGGCTCTAGAGATATAGAGGATGCATTAGATATCTCATAGAAGACACAGCAACAAACAATAACAAAGCAGTTAAACTAATCACTGGCTCGCCCCTCGATGCGTTGGTCGCTGTGCGTGCCCTGAGTTCTCCAAACGCGCGGCAGTAATTACTGAACAGCACTTGCTGTGCAGTTTACTCGATGCGTGCCAGCCACAGAAAAGCCGTAGTTTCACCCGCTTGCTGGTGGGCATGGATGCTTGCATCTCGCTGCCACCCCAATCTGCAGATAATCAGGCCATGAATGAACGACCACGAACGCAAGAAGCACTGTCTCACCTCCCAAGTCCCATCGGCGGGGGTTTCTTCCCCCTTTCCCATGCTGCATTGGAATTCCCCAATTCTTTTCGTCATTGCCTGTCAGGCGATACAACTATACAACATTGATGTTGTTTCGTAAAACAAAAAAAAAGAAGGGTTGCAGGGAGCGGCCCGATGTGATTGAATTAGCCGCTGAAGCGAATTGCAATCCGGCCTGTTTGTGGCCTCATCTCTCTCTTCTTTTCTCTGGCACTCGCCATGCCAATACCTACGCGACCGCACCTGCATTTGCATTTATCGGCGCGGCACCGCCCGCACACTTGTCCGGAGGTTTAGGACCAAAGATTGATCGATTTCGACGCCATCTCGTTCCATTTTCGCTTCCCGTCCGCCGCCCTCTTTCCGAGACTCGAGGCAACTTTGCAAATGCACTCGCATTCCCGCGTGCATCTCTCGTCAACGATCGACAGCGGGTTCTCGAGTGGTTGCCAACACTGGTTGACTGTTGGACACGTCACAGTCGAAGAAAGCCCGACCGTCCATTCTGCATCTCTTGGCATCGCGAACGAAACGAAAACCGAAAGACTCGACCGTTGAGTCCAATACACAGCGCTGTGCAGAGCTGGACAGCTTCGGGCGATCGAATACCAGACACTTGAGATGCCCTCGGCCCCCCATCTGCCCATCTGAGATCGGTGCCTGGTGTCCAATGATCTGCCCGACAATTCAAATGCGGCGGGCATCTGCAAGTTGTAGTTCTGAGGAAAACCACTTGGCTTCTCCGTCGAGCAGGCATTCATGCAGGTCGGAGTGGTCCACATCTGCCAAAGACTCTGTGCAAACTGCCAGAATTGTCCTATAGATTGTTCTCGTCAGCCCACATATCCATCATGTCGTAAGTTCTTCCATACCAGCCGTCAATCTCCCCCCCCCCCCCCCTCTCCCTGCATCGCTGCCCGGCAAGACAACTGCTTTATTAGTGCAACGCGGCCATGATTTCATGCTGTTCCCGAGTCTGGTCGGGATGTCGTTGCATGTGAACAAGTTATGCCCAATTCAACTTGACTACGAGGCAGCGGCTGCAAAATAAACGGCGGCCTTCATCTGGGAAGCCTTATTCTCATACCCTGAGAGTTCGGGCTTCGTCTGCCCTCTATGTCGAACATGCTTCCTCGGCTTGAGTTGCGCTTCTCGTCGTGGTAATTGCCATTTTGGACATGCAATCATAGCGGTAAACTCGAAGGCGCCTAAAGGTCTCAAGGCCATCGCTGGAGGACGTCGTGAGCAGCTTCGGCCCTTCATGGTGCTGGATCCGCCAGCTCTCCGTCGAGAATGCGAGCCTCTTCGTGCTTCATGGCTGTCTCTATAAAAAAAAAAACCAGCCCTTCGAAGGGTCTTTCGTCAGGCAGTCCCCTGTGAAGACATATTGTAATGTCCTTATCATGGGCTGCAATGCATTTCGAGAACATCTGCGATTTTCTCGGGAGCAGTGTACAAGCCAGGACTGAAGAATGAGCCGGTCTTCCGTGACAAACGATTGTCCGCGTAATGCTACAACCGAAGCCATATGGAGAGGTATCATAATGGTACGAGGTAAGGGTTGATAGAGGTGACGATAGCTTCAGAGAAAAGAGCTTGGAGCTATGACGACTATCAAAGAAGAGAGCACAGGAAAAGAAGCTCTACTGCGTAAGCATTTGACATGTGGGGCCATCGTGAGTGCACCTGCCTTCCAATCTATGACCACCTGGCAGCATCTGGAGAAACTGTCCCTCGGCTGTCAACGGCTGCCTACGGTATTCAACCCACCTGCCAATTTCCAGCGCATGAACCATCACGACGCGAACGCGCTGGACAAGCCAAGCCAAAGTCGCATCCCACCACCCAAATGTCGATCTGTTGACGGCGCATTCGCACATCATCACCCAATCCCTGTCGACGCTACCGCAAGAAGGCTCGATATGACTCTACGCTCGTCGAGGCGCAAATTTCCTCCAGTCACGAGCTTGTCACGCACATAATTTTCCGACTTTACCTGAACTGAAGCGCTTTACAACCTCCAAATCAACCATCTTATAAATCCCGTTTTCCGTTTTATAACGATAACCCTCGACAATGAACTCAATGGCCCTCCCCCGAGCTCTAGCGAGTACCACCTGGCGCGCAGTCGCCGCCAACCCATCGGCCCCGGCCTCTCGCGCGGGGTTCTTTACCCAGCGGTGCTATGCTACCCGCGCCGCGAAGACGACGGCCGCCGCTGCGCCGGCTACCGCTACAAAGTCCACCACCGCTGCGGCGAAGAAGACCACGACCACGACGAAGAAGAGCGTGAGCACTTCTGCTGCTAGCAAGAAGGCTGCTGCTGCTGCTACTGCCGCTACTGCCACCAGCACTACCACGGCTGCCGCTGCGTCCAAGACCTCATCGGCCTCGACCAAGGCCAGTACCGCCGCTACCAAGGCGGCTGCCGCTTCGAGTACGACCCCGAAAGCTACAAGGACTGTCAAGAAGGCCGCCACGAGCACCACCAAGGCTGCTACTGCTACATCCGCTGCTGCTACCAAGAAGGCCGCTACAGCAAAGGCTGCCCCTCCTCCTGCTGTCGCTGCTGCTCCCGCTGCTGCCGCCGCCGCCCCGAAGACGCCCACCTCGGTCCCAAGTCCCGCACCCACAGCAAGCTCTCCCACGACAGCCCCGACGATGACTACCTCGAAACCGGCCCCTACTGCAGCGGCAGCGGCAGCGGCGCCGACAGCGGCTCCCATCCGGCCCTACGCACCCACACCCCCTCCACCCCGCGCCCCAGAGGCGGAAGTCCGACCCAAGCTGAACCCCAACAGCAAGGAATACCGGAGAGCGTACGGTACGGCGGCGAGGAAGTGGACCGCTACCATGGTGGCCATGCCCATCCTGCTCGTCACCTCCTACTTCCTCTTTGACAGATGTGAGTTACTGCCCGCGGCGGCCACTGTCCGTTAACTGTAAGGACCCTTTCACTGACATATTTCAAAAAGTGGCTCTAGGTCATGAAGCAAAAGTAATGCCGGATTTTGAAGGTGCTAAGAAGGCCGCAGAGGCACAGAAAGAGGTGGAGAAGTTTGTCGAAGAAGCACAGGCGCAAGCCAAGGCGGCATAGAGCCGTCAACTATAACTATATTGTAATGATCTTGATGAATACCCACTCCCATTCTTACCTGGCCGACTTGCACCCCCCCTTCACTGTGTGTCGATCCGGCGCCTGCTCTTCTCAATAACGACGAGCCTTTCCACTGGCAGCGACAGCATCGACTTGAGGCTTTTGTTCAGCCACCAGCGGCGCGAGTAGTTGACTGGGGTTGTCTTGCTAGCAAGCGGATGTACTTACCCCGGCTCTGTATCTCGAACAATTGACGAGCTGGCTTGTAACTTCCCTTAAAACACGGGTTAATATTCATTTTCAGCCTGGAATTCCGTCATGGTTGTCTTGAAGCCTTTCATGTAAACCCTCATCTTGGCATCAAGCTACCACATGCGGTTGCGCGCCAACCCAACAGCCGCGGCAAGCAGTCCCACGACAAATACACCGCCGATAACGATGCCTGCGATAGCGCCTGCTCCAACTGATCCAGTATCAGGGATGGCCTCGTCGGCCGCTGCGACGGCGAGCAGAACCCACGTCACGAGGACATAGGAGACCTGGTCAGACATTGAGTGTTTGGGGAGGCGAAAGAAGTTGATACTAGTTCTGAGGGTATGCCTTTGGAGAAGAGAAAATGAGAGCCAATGTAGTTATGATTGTGGTAGTTGTCCTGACTGCTCTACCGTGATCTCGAGGTGTCCTATTGTAAGTGTAAGGTGCTCGGGCGAGGGGATGTTGTTGAGCAGTCCTTCACAGCTAATCCATACACTGATTTACAGCTTCAGTCGCTGATCAGATCTAGATGAGGCGGATATTTTGATGGGATTAATTACGGGCAACGTGACTGATACGTAAGGCACACAAGATGGGTAGCCTGGTTGAGGGAGGTGAACTTGTATGGAATACGCTGGAACTGCCAGCCGGTATACACATATTTGGCTTGAACCGGTAGACCTTATCAGAAGTCCAATGCCTTCCAATCCTAACAACAAATATCGGGCCTGGTGACCGAGGGGTGAAAGCCGTGAAGTGCTGACTAGTGCGTGATTCTCCGTACTCTTCAGGACTCCTGCGTTCGAACATCGGTCGGCTCCTGTTGTTTTTGCTTTTTTGTTTTTTTGTGACTTTTTCTGGATATCGTCTATGTTTATGAATCACAGAGTTATATCTCACGACGACTTCGTGAGTCCAATGAATCACTACATGTACCATACTGAAGGTAAGCAGGTTGGATCTTCACAGAGATCATGAGACGTAACTGATAGACTTGGTAAACATAATAGTAGGTGCGCTCTCCATTACAATCTAGATACTTCCTTCCTCTCCTCCTGTTGCTGCTGGTTCTCCTCAGGATTCCCGCAAAACGTCACAGTCTTCCTCGGACCCTTGACAGTACCACTCTTGGTAAGCAACTTCCTCTTCCCAGCCGTCGACAAGGGCGGATCATCATCCTCGTCCCGGATATAATACGCCCAGTCAGCCGTCTCATCCAGCTCCGTCTGTGAGTACCCGTTTCCCAACCACGCGAATCTGTTCCCGGCATACTTGACCTCGAGATCATCCCACCGGACCTCCTTGATGGCCTCAATGTAATGCAGCGTCGAGCCCGGCCACAGCGCCACGACAGGGCCGTCATCACGGGGCTTATACCACGAACGACAGGAATCTGACCACACGGTCTGCGGCATGAAGGACTCTTTGTAGTCCACAAAGTCACGGACTGCCTCCTCTTTGGGCGTGAAGGAGACTACATTGGTAGTCTGGTAGCGGTCAATGACCTTGAGCATCCAGTCCGCCTGCGCCTCGATGGCCGGGAGGACGGGACCGTTGCCGATGGGGCAGTTGGGACCCAACATGATAAAGTAGTTCGGGAACCCGGACGCCGCCATACCCAGGTACGATTCAGGATCGGAGGCCCATTTATCCTGGAGGTTCTCGCCCAAAGGACCGATGATGGGGAAGCGCGGCTTGAAGGATGTGTCGAAGCCCGTGGCGCATATGAGGACGTCTACGGGATACTCCCGCCCGTCGTCAGCGACGCACCCTCGTTCTGTGATCTCCTTGATCCCGCCGTACACGACCTCCACGTTGGGCTTGGTGAGCGACTCGAGGTAATTGACACCGGGCGTCAACCGACGACAACCCACGCCCCAGTCCGGAATGAGCTTCGACTCGAGCGATGGGTCGTTGAGCTTCTCCTTCATCTGCTGGATAAAGTACGCGTGCGTATCCTCGTTGATTTTATTGTTCTTGAGGAATATCCCAAACTGTCCATTGAGTCCGGACTCGTTATTCTTGCGATACTCGAGGAGGGCCCCGGGCTTCGTCGAGAAATCCGCCTTCTCGGCGGGGCTGAACAAGTGCTGTTCGAGACCTTGCGCGGGTGACACCCACGTCGGTCTGCGGATGAAGGTCGTCACGCGCTTACACTGTTCGCGGATTGCTGGCAGGACTTGGATGCCTGAGCTGCCGTTGCCGATCAGGCCGACGTGCTTGCCTTCCAGAGAGACGGTGTCGTCCCAGTTTGCGGTGTGAAGTAGCTTGCCGCGGTACTTTGAAAGGCCAGGGATGTCTGGCCATTTCCAGTTGTTGAGGACGCCACCTGCGTTGATGAGAAAATCGCAGTGGTCGATAATTGTTTCGCCGGTGGACGTGTCTCTGACGTGGACGTCGTAGCCGCCGGTTTCCGAGTTCCAGTAGGCGCCAATGACCTGGTGTTGGAGCTTGATGTATTGGTATAGCGAATACTTCTTGGCAAAGGTTTCAAAGTATTCTAGGATCTCGGGCGCTGGGGGGTACACGGCCGACCAGTCCAGCTTCGGTTCAAAAGTCCAAGTATAATTGTGCGATGGAAAGTCGCAGGCGCACCTTTGGAGGTCAGTACTTGAAGATCTTGGTCTGGGGAAGCCTTTGTTGACTTCGACTCAAAAGGCACACGTACCCGGGGTACTTGTTTTCGAACCATGTCCCAGCTACCGACGGGTTCTTTTCATAACACTGAAGCGAGTAGTTGGAGAAGTGTCGTTGGAGCTTGTAAGCCAGCAATAAGCCAGAAGCACCTGCGCCGACGCAGATGATACGGACGTGCCTTTCGCTGTGGATAGGAGCTGATGGGCGTCTTGCTGCGTCTCTGTCTCCTGCGCTTGTGGGTTCTGGCAGCAGAATGTCGCCCATGGTCACGTTGTATCAAGTCAGAATTCCTTGGATGAAGTATGTTAAAGAAATTTCAAACTTACACAGAAGGCAAGCTCGAGGAGTTTAAACATAAGTGTCAGATGTTTATATTCATACAAGACAGCACAAGAGGGCAATGTATATGGAGAAGAGGTACAAGGAATCTGGGACGTTGACGGTCTCCGTAAATTCACGTCACGTATCAAACCATCGTAACTAATGACCAAAAGACATAGTTCTAGCGTCACAGAAACAAAAGTTTCCCCGCCAAAGGTAAGCCATAGCCGTGTATGTTTGTATCTCAACGTGGAATTCAGGTCCCACGACTCTCCCTAGACATGGCGGAGATCAGACAACCTCGGTGGTGGCGTTCAAGCTGTCCCGGAAGACGGCTCCGTGCATGCCGTGCTGCAGATGCGGGCAGCATCAACGTCAGGCAACTGAGTCCACTCTGGCATTGATAGCAAATCTCAAAGTCATTTCGAGTCAGAGTTGTGAGCCGCACAGTGAGTTTACTGACTCAAAAGTGTGTCCTGCCTATGAGAAATGCAGGATATCTCGAAGATATGGCACCCACTCGGGCCCATCGGAGTATGGAAATGTCAAAGATGGGGTGGGGGCTGATTGAGACCAACATTGGCCGAATCTGATACACCACTCTTGTTGCTTGCCATGCTTAGAAGTAGGCGCGAGAACAACTTGGCTGATGTCGTCTGTACATAAGTCTGAGACAAATTTGCCTGCTTAAGAGGGATTGGCTAGACTTACTTCGGCAGTTGCTCATGAGATAGAAGGGCATTGCCGTCCCGGGAAGGATCTAGTGTCCGCACTCCACGATGTTGCACTGTATAAGTGATCTTCGGGTTATCATATATGACCGCGGACCCCGGCGAAGGCCTCACATAAAAGACTACATGAGGGTAGCAGTGACTACCTTGGCCAGAGGGGCACATGCGGCTTTGCGGGGAAACAAACAGTAGGTGGAAAAGACTGCGGGTATGTCGGAAGACCTCAACCGGGAAATGGAGCGTGAACTGAGGTTACACAAAAAGGTACATACCTTTCTTGACGTTCCTGTAAGGAATATCGAGGAAGGCCGGTCTAATCGGAAGAGATGCTGCTCAAGTCTGTATTCAAGCGCGGAGGCTACACTTGTTTGAGCATGGAGTTCGTCAAGATCTTCGTCGCGGTTTTGTTCAACATAATATGTGCCTGCATGCAAGCTACCCTTTATATGCTATTCGACAGTTGATGATAATCTGCAGATCCTTTCTGTATAGCCAGCCAATTAAATACAAGAGTTGCAATCCATATTCATCACCTCCTCCGGCGCCAAGTATCAAATCCGTTATTGTGTAACCCCACTATAAATTCACAACCTCGATCTTGGACTCTTTGCGGCCTTCTCCAGGGCCGCTGCATCTCTCTTAGACCACTCACGCATCACTTTCCTCTGAATCTTCCCACTTGCAAGCTTGGGAACCTCATCGACAAACACTACACCACCGACGAGCGCCTTATGCTTGGCAACCCTCGGCTTGATCCATTCCTGGATATCTTCTGGCTTGACCTTCCCTATTGAGACATCTTGGAGAGCCACGTATGCTCTAGGCCATTCGTTGCCCTCACTATGTTGTGATGTCAGTGTTTTGAAAGCTGCAGGCGTTCCAATATTATGTATGCTACTCACATGGTGATGCCCACAACGGCTGCGTCTGCAACATGCTCGTTCTCGAGCAAGACGGCTTCCAATTCTGCGGGCGCAACTTGGAGGGCGTTGACCTTGATAAGCTCCTACAAATTTTGTCAGAATATTGCCTAGCTTTGAGGACGTAAAGACAAGACACTTACCTTCTTACGGTCCACGATCCAGAAGTAGCCATCTTTATTGCAGACGGCGATGTCACCCGTCTTGAGCCAGCCATCCACCAGCGCCTCCTTGGTGGCAACCTCGTTGCGCCAGTACCCGAGGCAAATGTTAGGGCCCCTCATACACAACTCTCCCGGCTCACCAAAGCCAACCTCCTTGCCCTCCTCATCCACCAGCTTACAGTCACAGTTTGGCGCCAGCTTTCCCACACTGCCAGTGTCGTCTTTGATGCCCCCCGGCACCATGATCCCACCGCAAGTCACCTCCGTCATCCCCCACCCCTGGTTGATCTGCACCGAGAACCTCCTCTGGCACTCATTCTGCAGCTCCCGCGACAAGGGCGCCGCTCCACAGAGCATGTCCTTGACGCTCGATAAGTCGTAGCGGGCCGTCTCTGGCCGCTTCGACAACATGACGAGGATAGGGGGCGCGACTTGTAGGTTGGTAATCTTGTGCTTGCCAATGGCGAAGAGGAAGTCCTCGTACCGGAACTCTTTCATGATGTAGATCGGAACGTCCAGTTTCATCGCCATGAGGACGGCGTAGAGCTGGCCGTATGCGTGATAGAGGGGCAAGAAGCCGATCCATCTCTCCCGCGGCCGGTTCTCAAAGGAGTATGGCTTTTCCGCGTATCTCATGTAGATCGTCTGCTCGACGTTGGCGATGAGATTGTGATGTGATACGCAGACGCCTTTTGGCAGGCCAGTGGTGCCCGATGAATAGTTGATGGTTGCAACTGTGCTAGTTGACTCTTCTGCGCTCAACTCTGGCCATTGATACGAGTCTGCCTGGGCTGGCGTGCCAATCATCTGCCTCCAGTCCGGCACACCGTGCTTGGCCGGATTCTCAACCTCGGAGAACTGAAAGATCCGAGAACGAGGTATTTTGGACTTGTCTGCGGCTTCCAAGACCTGCTCTAGATGATTTGGGTGGACGAGTACAACCTTGGCCGCAGTGTTGGTCATTTGATGCACAAGCTCTGCACAGGTTCAGTTAAGACATATACTGAGTGGTGTCGATTGATTTGTGAAAACGTACCAGGGACTGTGTAAGCTGGATTGGCGCCACTGAATACGCAACCTACGGACACGATACCAAGGTATGCCACCGGCACGAAGATTTGGTTGGGTGTGCATATCATGACCACGTCTCCGCGTTTGAGACCGAGGTTTTGGAGGCCAAATCCAAGTCTCTTCACCCATTGCAGCATCTGTTTTGGTGAGAGGTTGATTTTGTCATCTTTACAGTCGATCCATATGGGTTCGTCAGATGGCGTTGATCCTTTGGGGAATAGGTATGAGAGAAGATTCGTCTTTGGAATATCCAGGGACGGAAAGGGTGACTTGAAGACCATTTTGGCGTCGTTGGTCAGCTCTGATGTGCTAAGGAGACAGGAACAAAGTGAGATTAAACGCAGAAGACCTAAAGGTTGAAGGGAAAATTCAAAACTTGATTAAGATGTTGAATGTCGCCAGATGGAAGTTCACGAAGCTTGAAAGTACATCTCAACCTAATGAGTCTAGAGAGTCAGGCGTTATCATGAAATCTGACTACGAACCCTGACATGGGTCCGCGTGTGTTGTACCGTCGTCATCCTGTCCAGGTCTGAGCAGCATGGGAAACATGGCCGTGTCTTCCCTCGGGATCGCCTCGGTAGGGGGCTTTATGCGGGGTAGCGTTGGGGAAACCTGGGGTCGTGCCGGGCGCCATATTGCTACCCCGACTTGCCCGAGTTCCCCGGGAGGAGACTAAACCGAAGCGACCGGCAATAGCCCCGGGAAGCTCTTTGCTTTGCGTTTGGTCACTGACTGACTATCTCGATCTGACACTTTTTCGTTGTCTTGTGATGGCGATTTGCTAAGACTGTTGCTTGTGGGCCACTACGTCTACTTAGTTATCCTCCACCATGTCGGAACTCAAAGACTTTGGTTCTACGTTCTCCCTCGAGGGGAAGACTGCCCTCGTCACTGGGGGATCTCGCGGATTAGGCCTGCACATGGCCACGGCATTCCTTCTCTCGGGTTGCTCTCACGTCATCATCACCGCTCGAAAACTGGAGGGCGAGCAAGGCATCAGCCAGGCCATTGAAAAGCTTAATTGTCTCCCCAATACTCGAGGAAAGGTAATCGGAATCGCTGCCAATGTCGCCGACTCTAAAGATATCATCCGTCTCGTCGGAGAAGTGAAGGACATCGTGAGCGAGAAGGGGCTGAACATCTTGGTCTGCAATGCTGGAGCAGCATGGGGTTCCAAGTTTGAGGATGCCCCGCCCAGCAGCTCTGTCAAGATTTTGGATCTCAACGTGAGGGGCGTCTTTGAATTGGTCCAGAAGTGAGCGCATTTCCATGAGTGAATGATTTAGTTAAATCAATGTGTTGACATCGAGAATAGGTTCCTACCTCTACTGGAGAAAGCAGCATCAGAAGACGACCCAGCCCGGGTTCTCACGGTGAGTTCAACAGCGGGTGGCAATGTACCGCACGTTGGGGAACACGGTACTATCATGTACGCGGCATCGAAAGCAGCTGCCAATGTGAGTTCTTATTTCTCAATTCAAGGAGATCGTCGTGAGTGCAGTGTCGCTCACATGCCATTTCCAGCATCTGGGACGTAATTTCGCGGTCGAGCTAGGCCCGAAGAACATCACGTCCAATATCATTGCCCCCGGCTTTTTCCCGTCGAAGCTGGCACAAGGTCTCATCAACAACCTTGGGGGCATTGAGGAGCTGAGCAGAGGCAACCCTCTTGGCAGGCTTGGTGAGCCAGAAGATATTGCTGGAGTTGCCGTGTTCCTGTGTTCTCGGGCAGCGAAATACGTGTAGGTGCGTTTCCGATTGTGTCATAATCCCTACTGATATCTCTGGATAGAAACGGCGTGGTCATTGAGATTGACGGAGGGGCGCGGCTAGTTGCTGGAAGACAGTCCAAGATCTGAGATGATGGGTTGTTGGAATATGGCTAAATCACAGGATAGCATATCTGGTATAACGTGCGAAGACATAAACGACCTGATGAGATGTGAAGATGGGATAGGCATCGTTTGGCGATGGTCACAGGCTAGTAGTAATGGCACAACCTCTCGCCTCGCTATTCGAAATATACTATTGTGTACGACTCTCATTGCCACCTCAGTATGTCAGGTTCACCATGACAGTCTTGGGCTCCGTGAAGGTTCTCAGCGCGTTGATCGCGCCCTCCCGACCTAGTCCACTCTCCTTGGTACCACCAAACGGTGCCGTCAAGAACATCAAGCTAATACAGTTGATTCCCACCATGCCACTGTCAATCTCCGAAGCAACTCTCAAGCACCGGTTGATGTCTTGACTGAAGATGCCGGCCATGAGTCCAAAGTTGGTATCGTTGGCCTTCTCAATGATCTCCTCTTCTGTTTCGAACTTGTTGATGATGGACACTGGCCCAAAGATCTCCTGTCGAGCAATCTCGGCATCTTGAGCCACGCCCTCGAAAACCGTGGGCTCGACGTAGTAGCCCTAGATTGGCTGTTAACAAGTTTCTATCGTCCGGGCGGCGAATGCAGTGCTTCATGGGCAGAAGCCCTTACCTTGTCGCCAACTCGACCTCCACCAACCAAAAGCGTCCCTTGACCTCGCTGACCTCGCTCAATGAAGCCTTGAACCCTCTCAAATTGAGCTTTATCCACCAGTGGGCCAATGGTAGTTCCCTCAGCGTCCGGGTCACCGACACCCTTGAGCTTCTCCTCCATGGCCTTCTTATAACCGGCAACGAACTCGTCGTAGATGGGCGCCTCGACATACACCCTGCTAGCAGCGACGCACACCTGTCCCGTATTCGCCGTGATGGCATTCGCGCACCAGGTGATTGCGTTCTCGAGGTTACAGTCCTTGAACACGACTGCGGGCGATTTTCCGCCAAGCTCGAGCGTCACCCGCTTCATGTTGCTCTTGGCCGCCATCTCCTGGATCTTGCGGCCCGTGTTCGTCGAGCCTGTGAAGCTGACCTTGCGCACCTTCATGTGGCTGGCTAATAGCGCACCTGTGCTTCCATCGCCAGAGACGATCTGGAATACGCCTGGTGGGAACCCGGCCTGTTCGATGAGGGTACCGAAGGCCAAAGCTGCAAGCGGTGTCTTCTCCGATGGCTTCAGGATGAAGCAGTTGCCCATTGCAAGCGCGGGACCAGCCTGTACGATTCCTTAGTAGCATGAACAAAGTAAGGAGAATCATTCCGTTTGGCTTCATACCTTCATGCCAATACTCCCAACAGGGCCGTTCCAGGGAATGATTCCACAGCAAACGCCCAGTGGCTCGTTGCGAACAATCTTCAAAAAGCCTATATCCACGTCAGTCAAATTTCGACATCGAAGACACGCCAAACCTCACCATCTTCCTGAGGATACGTCTCGCCGGGGAACTTATCCGTCCAGCCCGCAAAGTACCTCAGACTCTCACTGGCCATCTTCATCTCCAAGCTCCCAAACGTTGCCCATGGCGCTCCCAGAGTGAGGCGGTTGAGGTCCGCCAGGACCTGACCGTGCTGCTCGACCAAATCGGCTAGCTTGTTCAGCATGTCTCGCCTCACAGTCGGAAGCGTCTTTTTCCACTTGGGAAAGGCGGCTTCTGCTGCCGCCACGGCGGCATCGACGTCCTCTTGTCCGCCGAGAGGAATGTCGTCAGCCACGGGAGATTCGTCATTGGGGTTGAAGAGCTCCAGCTTCTTTCTGTTTTTGGAGTCGACATACTAAAATTCTGTCAGTTACGTGGAGTCGTCTCAGAGGAGAGATTTCTGCTCACTTGATTGTGGATGTACAGCTGCTTGGGGAGGTTGGTCTTGCTCCAAGGGAACTCCGACTTGCTGCCGCTCACGGCTTTATTGAATGACGACCCGAATGTATCCATAATGATTAGACACTTTAGGCAACAACACTGTATGAGATATTTCTAGACGATGGATCTCAGAGGGAACTTCGATTAACAGCACAGAGCAGAACGGGCTTGAATGAGCAAATCAATCTTGATGACCTTCTTAACAGCTACAACTCCGGCCATAACCCATTTTGCCAGGGCCCTTTGAGGACCACGGAGATAACTTCGGCGTCCTCCTTCATTCCGGCATCACATAATCACAGCGCATGAATGCACCCTCGATGAGGGGATCGTTGTTCTCGCCTGCCTGGATACGCATGCACGTCGAACTTGGCGCAGCTTACGCAACCTCCTGTGCCAACGAAAAGCTCTTGGGGTTCCACGACACCACACGAGAAACGCCACCAAGCTGCGGGGATCTTTTGTCATACCAAATGTGTAAAGCTGACGATAATACTGGGTCTTTTGTAGAAGATTGAACGCTGAGTAAGTATTGACATCCTAAGTCGAGTTGGTTGTCTAAATTAAGCATAACCGATTCGGGAGAACGGCTGACTTCTTGCAGGATCAACGTTCTCCCCACTTTGGTTCCTGTGATTGGATCGCAACCGTTCATGGCTGCTGAGGTGCAGGACCTATGAGCCGTGTAATTGACATGACTACTGCGTAGAAGGCTTCGATGAAGATAATGATGGAACAAGAGTCATCAACGGAAGGAAAGCTCATCCAGCTGGCGATGACTTCTCAAACCCATAACGAGATGGTGAGCATTCTGACACTAGCCTACTACTCGTGGATTGTTAGTTTGTTTTGTAACTTAGTAAAAGACCAAAAGACCTAGCATTCTCGTTATTTACAGAGCTCACCTGGATTTCACTGTGGCTAATCCCTAGTCAAATGATATGTACCGCTCCCCGTACTGCTCTGCAAACTTCTTGCATCGTTCCTGATATGCCTTATGCTTCCTGATAACCTCATCCGCTGTCTTCATTTCCTCTCTTCCAACTTGATGCCGATGCGCTGCATCAGGCCCGTCTGCAATCCTAACAAAGCGCGCATACGTCCACATCTCAGGGAGCGGCGTATGCTGCGTCAATCCCTGGCCTCCATACATCTGCATGCATTCGTCAATAATCTTCGTAGCCATCATGGGCACCAAGATCTTGCTCTGCGCAATCGCTCTCTTGCCAGCCTTGTTTCCCAAGAGATCCATCGTATCCGCGGCGTTCAAGACGACGAGGCGGGCAGCATCTAGCTCAAGACGCATCTGGGCAACTCGCTCAATGTTGGAATCGAATTCGCCGATGAGCTTTCCGCGGGGCTTCTTGCGGGCGTCGTTGCAGCGAATCAGAGCTAGCTCGTAGGCTCTCTCGCATTGCCCGATTAAGCGCATGCAGTGGTGAATCCGTCCGGGACCCAGGCGGCCTTGGGCGATCTCGAAGGCGCGCCCTTCTCCGAGGATGATGTTTTCTGCCGGGACGTGGACGTTTTCGTAGAGATATTCTCCGTGACCCTCTGGCGCGTGGTCGTAGCCCATGATTGTCAGGTTGCGAACTTGGCTGATTCCCGGCGTGTTGCAAGGGACAATGATCATGGAGTGACGGGACCATTTTGGGTTGTCCGGGTTGGTGCAGCCCATGAGGATGTAGAACGACAAGTCTTTGTTCCAGAGGCAGTTTCCGTAGAGCTTCCTTCCGTTGATTACGTAGAAGTCGCCCTCACGCTTGATGCTGATCCCAATCTGTGTCGCGTCTGAACTCGCTACGTCCGGCTCGGTCATTGAGTAGGCGGAGGATGCAGTGCCATCGAGAAGTGGCTGGAGCCATTTCTTCTTCTGTGCTTCGTTGCAGTATTTGGCCAAAAGCTCGATGTTTCCTGTCTCTGGAGCGTGACAGTTCATCGTCTAAGGCAAGTTAACATATTAGTCTCTCGAACAGCCATAGTGTAAAGACATGTTTCGTACCTGGGCTGCCCAATAACACCGGCCCATGATCTCGGCGCAGCATGAATACTCCAAGTTTGTGAGCCCGGGGCTCTCCTTGAAGTGATTGGGCAGGAAGAGATTGAACAGACCGCGTTCTTTGGCCTTTTTGCGCAGTTCGTGTATCAATGGCGGTGTCGTCCAGCGTCGGGCCTCGAGCTGGGCTTTGAAGACCTGTTCTCTCGGGATACACTCATTTTCGACCCACTCATACACGGCGTTGATCTTCTCGATGGCCAAAGGTGAGAGCTTCGCTTTCACCCACGGCGGCAGGTGAGAAAAAGCAGGACTATCCATGGCGGGGCAACTTAATTATTCGTTGGCTCCGTGGTTGGTATCTCTGACTGGATCATTGGATTTGGATTGTATCCTCGAAATGACCTTCAACTTATAGCGAGAGGCATCAGAGAGTCGAGAGAAGTGTCCCGAGCCTAGTATAGCGACCTTGCCGAGACCATGCCCTGCGCTGTACCAGCAGCCGAGTCCAAGTACCTCAATAACTCCCTTCCATGGCAGACCCCCATATCATCCAGAGCTCAATGCGGCTACAGACGCTAATGATTCAGTGTCCTCGATACATCCCTTGAGTATCAGACGGCCGGGGAATTTGGGGTGGGGCGATGACCTCGGCCCCTCACGGTTCTGTAAGCTTGTGCGGAGTCCACGCGGGGTAGCTCCTCCGGGGATCATCGGCTGTGTGTCAGGATGAGGAGGAGAAGATTGGAACACGAAACAATACGGCACCCATTCACCCACTCATCCACTCAAATCCTTGGTAACGCGCCCTGAGAGGTTGTCCTAGAAGCCAATGAGATCTCGCAGGATTGTCCTCATGTCTGCTCTATTAGGCGGACCCTTTGCCAGCCTCCAAGCTACTCATGCTACGCCTGCCTTAACATTATTGTAGAAATACCTCCTCTACTATCTTACACAATCTGCCTACAGGCCAATTTACTTTGGAGAATCGAATAAGGTTCGCATTGGAGGTGTAAAGAGTAGAAGTACCTTTTCGTGCCTCGTTGTGTGCTCTACTACTATGCTTGAACCCCTTGTGGCCCTACCATAACTTATTTAGTCTACGTAATCGCTACGAAATATGCTTATTTACTGGGTCACGACCTCAGTCCGGATGGTCCCGTCCTATCATAGTTACACTTGGCATAACAAGATGCACTATCATTTCTATTGTTCTACAGATTCTCTTTCGCTGAATTGAGACAACCAGAGGTCGTGTAAACGTCGGTTGCTGCACCTTCGTGTCTGCTTCAAGGCATGGGCATGCAGATATTGAATAGTGCAGCACATCTGGCAACGCTGCCTTTATGGATCTTTTCACCTACCAAGTTTCTATCATATGGAATGACAGGCTTATTCTGGTGTAGACTTCTGTTAGACTGGGCTTTATCCTTTGTACCCTAGGTCCGTCCAATGTCGACTGCATTGACTTTGGTGTTAACCTCCGCTCGGACTCTTGGGCGGTGATGACTGCATTCAAAGTCAGCCAGCAGGGCAGACAGCACCTCTGTGGAAATCAAATTCCTTCCTCTTCTTACTGGTAAGCTCAAGATCCAACTTTCTTAAGAGGCTATTGTTCAATTTAAGCGACCTTGGCACGCAGATAAGCGGACAACAAAAAGTCGACCAGCCCAAATCCTTCTGAGCAACCGACGTTATCAGATCATTTTTTTCTCCGGCCTATGGAATATTCTTTCCCTTTCGCGATATCCTATATCGAATTTGACTCCTGAATTACGCAACTAGAGCGACTATCTCAAGCAAATGAACGGTCACCGACGAATAACTAGGTCATACAAGCGTTCTGCTCAGTGCATGCGTGCTCAATGAGCCACTATGGCAAAGACAACTGAGAGGCATGCCCTGGTAATCGGTTTGTAGCACTGTTCTACAATGACTTTTTATTTCTAACGAGAAGAGACAGGTTCAAGTGGAATCACTGGGTGGGCTATTACCAATGCTATACTTCAAGGCTATCCCAGCCAAGATGCCTTTGATTCTGTGACGGCCCTCACCAATCGCCCCATCACCGAGGACACCACTCAGTGGCCTATGTCGGAGAAGCTTCACGTCGTCAGTGGTGTGAAAATCTTAGCTCCTGGTGGACAAGAAGCTCTCGAAACCGATCTCCAGGACAAAGTAGAGAGTATCAAGAAGATTACCCACGTCTACTTCTGCGGTACGCAACGCCAGCGACTGCTTCCACACCAGACCATGTGCTAACACTACCTACCAGCTTACATCATGAACCTCGACCCAGCAAAGGAATGTAAGATCAACACCGAGCTCGTTTGGAAGACTGTGACTGCCATAGATCGCCTATCCCCAAACCTGCAATTTGTCGTCCTTCCAACAGGCACAAAGGCATATGGCATCCATCTCATGGACCGCTTTCCGTTCGCAAAGGAACTCCCTCTGCGCGAATCGCTACCGCGAATTCCTGAACCACTTGGTTCACAGCTATTCTACTATCACCAGATTGATGCACTGTCAAAGCTTTGCAAAGGAAGGAGTTGGTCTTGGTGCGAAGTCAGAGCTGACACGATTGTCGGCTTTGTGCCAAACAACAATATCTGTTGCGCGGCACAGACTCTGGGTATTTACCTTTCTCTCTTTGCAGAAATCGAAGGAGAGGGAGCCGACTGTCCCTTTCCGGGCAACGAAAAGTGTTGGAATAATCTCAGCCACGAAAGCAACCAAGATATCCTCGCAAAGATTTGCGTACACGCGTCCTTGCATCCCGACGTCACCCACAGACAGATATACAACGCGGGTGACAGCCTTCAACCTTCTTCATGGAGATGTAGATGGCCGGTCATCTGTGAGTACTTTGGTTTGAAGGGGAGGCCTCCTCTGCCAGATCATCAGGCCCCTCAGCCTGAGCACTACCTAATAAAACATATTGAGAAATGGAAAGAGATGGAGAAGAAGCATGACCTCGTTGGCGGTCACATTGTCAACGACCGTACCTTCATTGAGCCAACACACGGCGTGGGAGTGATATACGGTCTGACGAACTTGCTTAATTTCGACAGGC